AAGTACTTCCTCAGCCCTGCAGTGGATCAATAATTACACAATTATTCTGGCCATTTCAGCTGAGTCAATACTTTTCCAATTCGCTAAATGGTGTCAATTAGTTTCAGACAAAATGAGAAAGTCCCAAGTAAACTATAATAGTATGAACAGAAGAAACAGAAAAGTGCTGCACGTACAGACCGATATTTTAAAAATTAAAATATTTTTAAGTTTAGTCACTCAGTATTGTCTGCAATTGATGCAATAGCACAGTAGCTAGAACTTTAGTGGACTACGATAACAGAGCTGGATGGAATACTCAACAAAGAAATATTGTTGACTGGTCAACTCAATTAGCACTTTATTGACAGAGGACGATATTCTCACTCAGCTCTCAGTAACCCAGCAAGCCAATAATAATAAAGGCTAGTTGGATAGTGACCTGTATTTCAGAAGGATCATCGATGCACAACTTGGGCTCCCTAATTACTTGGCTTTAGAAATCTGTGCCTGTTCTGTGTGCGCAGGCACGTCTGTTCAGAAAGAGACTGCACTCGCTCTCAAGAGCACTTCAGAATGTTACGTAGGTAAAAAGTGTCAGATAAATGCACGTTGTAGTTGGTGCAATCTTTGGCACTGGCAAACAGAGCAGGAATTGGAAACTCAAACACAGTGAAGGGTTTTTGCATGTGTCACCAATCCTTGCATGTGTCAGATACCCAGATTGATAAAGAGATTAACACCAAGAGCAGGGTGTAGCAATACGTTACCACTCACCTGGATGACTAAGTATAGCAGAGTAATGGACTGACTTTTGAAGGAATTCCTTCTAACCAGTTCCGCAACATTTTCAAGAGAGAATTCCTTGCCTCTCCGTCAGCTCACGTCACAGAAATAGACCTACTTTTTTAAAAAAAAATCTAATTAAGATCACCCTATTTGGGTGGGATAAGAGGTGTCCATTATTGCACCTATACTTTTAGCAAATGAGCTTCTTGAACATCTATCAATAAATAAATTGATTTAATTAATTAATTTATTTAATGAATGCCAGGATTATTATTATTATTAATCACTGTATTCCTAAATTTTGGCAACATGCCATTTGTTTAGCTACTAAAACCAGGGCAACATATACCCGCAGCAACAATGAAACGCTCAGTTAAAGGAAAATAAGCTTGTAAAATGTCAAAACAATTAAACGAGACTACATCAAGATATTAGCAACATACAGACTTGTGTTGGAAGGAAACTTTAATAATAATAATAATAATAATCCTTGCATTTGATATAGCGCTTTTCACGTCGGGAGGACGTCCCAAAGCGCTTCACAGAACACAATGTAAAGTGAATTGACTGTATATTTGTGGGCGAACGCGGCAGCCAATTGCGCACAGCAATGTCCCACAAACAGTTGTAGATTGAAAATGACCAATTTTTTTTATTATTGTTTTTTTTTTTGGAGGGATTATTATTAGGCTCTGTGTGGAGTAAGGAAACTTGCCCAAGGTTTCGTCCTCTGCCTGGAATTGAACTCAGATCTCTCGCTTGCAAAGCGAGTGCTCTAACCACTGAGCTACAGGACTCCACTTTACTTCAAATGTAATTTAACCCATTGAGGGACTCCACTGAGTCTCCTTCCCAGCTATCTGAAACCTATAGCACAACAGTGAGAGCTGATAAACCACACTATCTTTGGAAAGTATGGTTAGAACACAGAACAGCAATGGTACAAAACAATACATAACCTTCTCACTATATAGACACAAATTCCTACCCAAAATGACATTTGCTACATTTAAGCAAACATTAACACTTTTGGGAAACATACATTGCAGGGAATTGGTATTTATTCAAGACTTGTTTATCAACATTTAAACTTGTATAAAGCCGATTCAATAACAACTTTTAAGAGAGAGGTAGATAATTATTTGGGGAGAACAAGTTTGCAGGGCTATGGGGAGAGAGCGGGGCGTGGGATTGATTGGGATAGCTCTTTCCAAAGAGCCGGCACAAACATGATGAGCCGAATGGCCTCCTTCTGTGCTGTATAATTCTATGAAACCTGCCCAAGAGAGCGGCAAGCATGCCTTTCACAAGGTTATAGTCTGTCAAATTACCAGCTAGCGACTATCCTCGGGGAGGGTGGGGGGCGGGGGGGGAAGGGGAGGTCAGTGGATATAAAGCAGGATATCAGATATAAAGCATAAACCATGGAACAGCGCAGGGTTTCAACTCTACCTTCATAATGATAATCCTGCCTTAACCAGCAGCGTTTATTTAAAGTATCCATTCAAGTGATCAATAACCCTTGAGTATATATATATATACACACACACACATACACCACACTCAAGCAATCTGTTTCAGATCGCAACCACTATTTCCTGATGTGGAGTTTGGGGAGAAATACAATCCCAAAAGGCTATTTTAGGCTTCCCAGCAAAATTCTGATTTGTATTTGCGTCTTTTATCCCACTTAATTATTGCAAACCCCAGAAACTTTGGTGGGGGAGGGGGGTGGCGGTGGAAGGGAACTAGAATTGTAGAGCAGTGAGATACCTATCTTTAGGGAATGAACATTGAAACCTCAGGATGTGTTGAATATATCGAATGTTAGACTTATTTTATATGATGTAATTTGGGGATTGCTTTGTTACGAGGTTCGAAGACATAACTCAACCTAAGTGCAAATAGGAAATAGACACAAACACACCCCATATAGAAGAAATAGCAGGGATATCTATCAATGGTCACGTAATACAACTCATTTGAATTCCACTTTTACACAGGACATTGGTCATTTTCATCCTCTTCTTCAACTGCGCCTTCGGTCACCCTCCTACCCCTACCCTCCCTGTCTTCCACCCCTCATGATCCCAACCTCCAGCTCGAGTCCAAATCCCTGACTGATCCAATGTGAAAGGCACTATACAAATGTGATTTGTTGGTGGTGGTGGTATCCATTTACATGGGAAGGGTTACTATTGCTGTTATAAAGTGTGAGATTGCTGCAACAAGATGCCTTGGACAGACTGGCGAAAGATGGGTTTCTAATTCAGATTGTGCCCTCTCTCCCACCCCCAACCCACCACCCACCATCCCTCACCCTTAACCACTGGTCTCAACCCAACACTTCCCCACAGAGGGGGAAGATCAGTTGTTCCACATTTATCTTAACCGGTTAGTTAGTAAGTGAGTATTGAAGGATAACCTCTGCTATCTAAAAATCTCTGAGGGATACCAGTATATGCCAGGAATTTACACATTATTTAGATACCTTGTACAAGCAGAGAATCAATATTGAGATAATATTAGGCACATTGATTTGTGTGCTGGAAAGTTACAATCAGTACGCACACAAACCAGACCAGGATCAGTCGGATCTCCCCAAGTGATCGCATAGAAGAAGGTAGTTGGAGGGACAATTATTCTATTACTCACCAACGACAGCAAGAAAAAAAAGAAATATTGTAAATTTTCACAATAATCTCGGCTAGGCAGGACCCAGAAAGAGGCGAGTAAATGAGAGAGTAATTTCTCACACATCAACTTGTATTTATATAAAGCATCTCGGAGTGGTGGAGCCTGACACCGGGGTGGGAGAGAGGAGGTAATCGTAAGCACAGTGAGGAGGGGGAGGGGAGAGAGAGGGAAGCATCACCTCACCAGAAGATCACAGGTGGTAATTCCAGATCTGTGCTAACGTTAGCTGATGAAACAGGAGAGAAACAACAGAACTAATATTGTCACACCTGACACCTGTCCAGTGACCCCCTTGATGGAAATTACGTTTACGTTGATGCCTCCAGGTTGGAGAGCATCAGATTGGGAATGGTCACTTAGATAAGATATTGGAGACTATCTACACACAGTGGTTTAAGTGCTCTGGGACGTTACTGTGCATGAGAGGTGCCATATAATTGCAAGCTGTTGTTGTAGTAGTGACATGGAGAAGAGGGGGGCAGAGGAGAAAGATATATATAATATATATATATATAAAGATATATACAATATATATATATATAAAGTGTCCCTCTCTCCCTTCCCAGCATATAATACACCTTTACCCTGATCAATAGGATTGTGGTAAATCAGCACAACGTTAAACGCAGAACAAGTTCATTTGCAATTCCCAGTCCAAAAAAACCTCAATTGCAATAATCCCCTTTTCACCCAAACCTGATACTCGCGGTGCGCCTTTGCTGTGTACTCAATATATATAGCTGCACTCAAGGAGAGAGCGATCAGAAAACTTGTTTAGATTAGCATTGCCATTTAAAACTAACGCCTCTCGGTTTGACACTTGTGCTGTTCCCCCACCCCAACCCCCAACCCCCCCACACACATACACAGGTTTCATGCACTTCCACAGAATATAAATTTATATATGTTTTTAAAGGTAGAAAAACGGATCTGTGTGTGTTTGTGTGTGTGTGTGTGTATGTGTGTTTGTGTGTTTTTGTGTGTGTGTTTGTGTGTGTGTTTGTTTGTGTGTGTGTGTGTGTGTGTGTGTGTGTGTGTGTTTTTGTGTGTGTGTGTGTTTGTGTGTCGGTGTGTGTGTGTGTGTGTTTGTGTGTGTGTGTGTTTGTGTGTGTGTGTTTTTGCATTTGACTTAGGAACCGGAATAAATCTCATTAACAAACTTTACAAAATAAATTAATATCCCCAAACAACAAGACGCATACAGGGCCTGTGCACTTATAACATGTTGATGGCCATTTCAGCCAAATACTTGAGGAGGAGGAGGGGAGGAGGAGGGATGGGGTGGAGTGGTGGAGTGGACCTTATCATATTTCTCTCACGTATCATATCATATGTCTCCCACAGTACAAAAAAAAGTCTCGAACATGAAATATCCCACAAAACGCATTTCGCCCCAACTGGCAAAATAAATGATTGATTAAATGAAGGTTGAGAGTTTTTATGTCCCCCCCCCACCCCCCCACACAAAAAAAATGTGCGTATATACTGTTGTTGTAGTCGTGCTGATGCTGAGTTGATGCTGAGGGCTGACTTACCTCTCCTCTGGATGATAACCCTGAGTAGGGGGTTGGCGGAGGACACGGCTTTGTGGTAGTTGTCGTCGTTGTTGATGGGGAGCAAATCGCCGTGGATGTCGGTGTACCCCAACAGCACGTCCACACAGGGGATCTGGTGCACAGCCTGGAGCAGCTGGTAAAACTCCTCAAAGCCCCCCACCCTCGTGCGTTTGAGAGCAAACCTTCTGTATTCGGCGTCGAACTGTGTGGGGTTGGTGAGTGGGGAGGGGGGGGAGTGGTGGGGGGGATTGGGGGGGAGTGGTGGGGGGGGATTGGGGGAGGAGTGGTGGGGGGGATTGGGGGGAGTGGTGGGGGGGATTGGGGGGGAGTGGTGGGGGGGATTGGGGGGAAGTGGTGGGGGGGGATTGGGGGAGTGGTGGGGGGATTGGGGGGGAGTGGTGGGGGGGATTGGGGGAGAGTGGTGGGTGTGGTGGGGGGAGTGGGGGGAGTGGTGGGGGGGAGTGGGGGGAGTGGTGGGGGGGGATTGGGGGGAGTGGTGGGGGGGGGATTGGGGGATTGGGGGGGAGTGGTGGGGGATGGGGGGGGAGTGGTGGGGGATGGGGGGGGGAGTGGTGGGGGATTGGGGGGGGGGAGTGGTGGGGGATTTTGGACCAAAAAAAGAGAGAAAAGAATAGAGATAAATGAGTCGCAACACCTACAGGTTTTATACGTGAATGCAAACCAACTCCAAGCACCAGATGCATCATGATCATGTCCCCCCACTCCCCCTAAAAAAAAGATCACCGACTTCCCCCCCAACCCCACCCCCACACACACACACTCCAACCCCCTCCCCACACACTTCTCTCCCCCCCCCTCTCTCTCCCCATTTTTAAAAAAAAATGACACGTTTTTTTAATATAAAGAGCGTTTTATTTTCGCAAGTGCTCGGTTCAGACAAGAGAAGCGGCCAACTGTCTGTCACTCAGTCAGACAGACAGACAGACACACACACACAGACACACACACACACACACAGACACACACAGACACACACACACACAGACACACACAGACACAGACACACACACAGATACACACACACACAGACACACACACACACAGACACACACACACACAGACACACACAGATACACAAACACAGACACACAGAGAGACACACACAGAGAGACACACAGACAGACAGACACACACACAAACACACACAGACACACACACACACACAGACACACACACACACACACACAGACACAGACACACACACACACACACACACAGACACACACACACACACACACACAGACACACACACACACAGACAGACACACACAGACACACACAGACAGACACACACACACACAGACACACACACACACACAGACACACACACACACACACACAGACACACACACACACACAGACACACACACACAGACACACACAGACACACACACACACAGACACACACACACACAGATACACACACACACAGACACACACACACAGACACACACAGATACACAAACACAGACACACAGAGAGACACACACAGACACACAGACACAGACAGACAGACACAGACAGACACACACACACACAGACAAACACAGACACAGAGAGACACACACACAGAGACACACAGACAGACAGACACACACAGACACAGACAGACACACACAGACACACACACACACACTCCTCTCTGCCACCGCGTAACGTCGTTAAATATGGCTCCAATAATTCGCATCTTAATGATGTGAAATATGGCAATGTGGTGGCGTCAAAACTGACACCATCAGCGTTCAGTCTCCACACAGGACCCAAAGGGGAGAAATGATCGAAACACACACACACACACACACAGAGCATCCGCCACCGGTAATACCATCTCTCTCTCTCTCTCTCCTTCCTTCCCCTCTTTAACCCACAACATAAGATGCCTTCGATTTCTGGTAACGAAGGTGAGGTTTGTTGACACCAAAACAGCTGAACAATTTCAGTCCAAAGCTTCTGCGCGTCTTAGCTTTTGCTGTATGCGGTACCCACTCACCCCCCACACCCCCCACCCCCCCAAAAAAAAATAATACACATACCAGCCCGACGCAGAGGATTTTTAAAAAAAAAGGAGGACGAGGGGTGGAGGGGAAGAGAGAGAGGGAGAGAGAGAGAGAGAAAAAAAAAGAGATCGATTGAAACCAAGATTCGTTCTGTTGCAACGTTACATAACCCTAACACTGCTGCAAAAAAAAAACATCCCACGGCGGTCCGCACGAAAACCCATCCAAAAAGAATAAAGCTGCTCCAAAAAAAAATCAATCGAGAAATGCATAAGGACCAAATCAATCCAAGAAAGAAAGAAATCGCCGGACAACACACCAGCAGTGTGTGTGTGTGTGTGTGTGTATGTATATATATATAAAAAAAAGAGAACCAGAGAGAAAATGCACAAGACAGAAAGAGAAGAGGAGAAGCAGCAGCAGTGGGAATGATGAGCCTAACCTTGCTCTTCACTTCCACAACATTGTCCACAGTTCTGGCCGGCGTCCTGTGATGCTTGGACATGGTCTTCACTTGTGCTTGTGGGGGCTTGTGAGAGTGTGTGTGTGCTTTGCAGTGACTGGGACCATGCACTGATGCTGAGACTCCGCAGGCAGGTGGGTGGGTGGGTGGTAGCCCTCGTTGCCTCCCTGTAGCTGCTGTGACTGTGTGTGACTGTGTGTGTGTGGGGAGAAGCGAAGGGCTGAGGATAGTGAGCACTTACTCACTCACTCACTCACTCACTCACTCTCACTGCCTGCCCCGGCGTCTACGTCACGGCGCTGACGCCGCCCGCCTCCTGGAATTCATGAATGGCTGCGTGTGGCCGAGGGGGGGCGGGGCCGCCGCAGGTACCATTGTGCCGTCACCAGGAATGTTACTGTCAGGTAACCAGGGCAACAGCGCAACGCAACGTTCCGTGACTTGGCCCCGCCCCTCCCTCCCCCCCCCCCCCCCCCCCCACCACACACCCATTCATCATTTCACCGACCGACCCACACCGACTTGGCTCCCGGATAAATAATAATAATAATAATAATAATAATCCTTGCATTTGATATAGCGCTTTTCACGTCGGGAGGACGTCCCGAAGCGCTTCACAGAACACACTGTAAAGTGAATTGACTGTATATTTGTGGGCGAACGCGGCAGCCAATTGCGCACAGCAATGTCCCACAAACAGTCGTAGATTGAAAATGACCAATTTATTATTGTTTTTGGTTTTTGGAGGGATTGTTATTAGGCTCTGTGTGGAGTAAGGAAACTTGCCCAAGGTTTCGCCCTCTGCCTGGAATTGAGCTCAGGTCTCTTCGCTTGCAAAGCGAGTGCTCTAACCACTGAGCTACAGGACTCACACCGATCGCTGCTCTCTTTACACGTCAGGGATAGTGATCCCGACAGACGAAACAGAGCCGATTCCCAGAGTCCCTCTCGTTTCAAGCCACTTCGCCTGTGGAAAACGAAATGACCAATAGCCCTCAATAGCCCTTGCATTTGATCCCGGCGCCTTGATCACTACCTGGTTGAGACGTCTCAAAAGCGCTTCACAGAAATATATTGTAACCTGGATTGACGGTGGTGAGTTTGGGGGGGGGGGGGGGTGAAAGGCAGCCGCCAATTGCGAGCAGCAGCGACCCACAAACAGTCGTGGATTGATGGATCAATTTTTAACTTACGTTTTGGAATTGATAAAAAAAAATTATTTTGGAGTATAGTTTTTCCCTGCGTCTGACTATAACAATCTATACGTTTCAATGTTGGACTCTCTTAACCCTCCACACCCCCTCCTTTCCTCACCACAGTCACGCTCAACACAAATTGTTTGAAAACCTTGCTGAGACTGAAACATAAACTGTTTCATATAGTAAATTACAAGGCACTCTCTGTCCCAATTCCAGTCTTATTACACCGTTATTGCTTGTTGATTTAAAGACACAGTATCTTTTACAAGAAAAGACAACTTGCTCTGTTCATGTGCATTTTGTACAGAATGAACCCCGGACATCACCAAACGTGTATATTGAGTTCTCTGTATTTCTTTTTAATCAGTACTACATTTATTTCAGATCTCAGTGTTCCTATAGCATAGAAAGTCTAATGTAACTATCCGCGGTGGGGAGGGGTGGGGGGGAGTTAAGTTTGGTCTCTTTGAAGCTGAACTGTCTTCAAGGTGACATGTTTGACAATGGAATGTCAGAATTGAGGCAATCCTCTGTATTGGTCCTGGTAGTCTGGTTCCTGAGCCAGGCGGGTCCGCAGTATTCCAGGCACCGCTGATGACAGACCAGCCAGTCTGGCTCATCACCGAGACTTGGAAGGGCACTGGGACCAGGGACTCATTCCCACTCAACTCCCGGTAACCCTAAAAACCAAAGCCTATCAGTTAGTAGGGTGGTGCAAGCTGGACAAGGAGCAGGAAAGCTTGCTGGACAGCGATATCAATGGCAAGCTTATGTGGTTTTAGCTGGTTAGACTCCAGCACTACCCCAATGCACACCTTGAGCCTTGTCTCTGGCCAACCTGCGCCTAATACTGGCTGGAATTAGATAAGCAGGAAATGACCCTCCAAAGAAAGAGTCCGCATTACATTCCAATAAATATCTTTGGAATTTCCATGAATAGGTCGGATACATGGAACTCTCACTTTAGTTTGGATGCTCTTAAGCATGGTGATAGGTTTCCGCATGTGTCAGACACGTTGCTGACCAAAAAAAGGAAGCCTAATCCTCGTCTCTTGGTACTTGTTAACACAACAAAATGTAACTCACAGTACAGTATTGCACAATGACCCAATCCCTATTGCTATGCTGTGAAAAGTTCAAATCTAACCAAAATATCCACACTCCCATTCAGCAGCAGAAAATGAGTTCTCAACCCAACAAACTTTCTCCAGAAATACATATCTACGTACTGTATTGAGGCAGCTCTATCAGTGTAACACAATCTAACAAAGTAACAAGGACTTATTCTGTAACAAACAGCCAACATCCTGTTTCAGGAGTTAAAGAAAAGAAAATGATCCATCTTCCCCTCCTTATTCTTACTCTTTTTGCATCTTTTCCTTTTTTTCTCTTACTCCCTGTTCCTCAGTCGCTTCCACTCATACACCTCTACTATATTTCTTGTCTTTTACTGCTGGTGTGTGACAACACCTCAGTTAGTAAAGATACCTATAGCGGACCAAATGCTTTTGCTCTCAATTTAAGAATATAATAGATTGTAGAATGAGTATGGTCTAAACAGCCCTTTGAATTTGTTCCTTCCAACAGATCACGTACAATTTTTACAGTCATGGCACTTTTCCCAACTTAATTCATTTCCTGAGAAAGGTAAATAGCCATTGATAACATTTAAGGGAGGGGGAACCATGACATTTCCCCCTGACTCAGGAAGTCAAACAGAAATTCCAGGATATCAATCTAACAATACAAGTAATATTATCCAGTCCACACAAGATCACAAGATTAGTTTGGATAAAGAAGGACCTTCGGCCCATTTGATCTCATTCTTACAGAATACTCAACCTACCAACTTCCCATCAAATCCCATCAGTCTTATTTTAAACAAGTGCAGTGTCCTGGGCTCAATCACCCTTCCTGGTAACCTTTTCCAGTCATTAATTCTCTGAATAAAAAAAACTTCTTGGTGTTTATCCTGAAATTGCCCTACGCAAATCTAAATCATTGTCCTCTTGCTTTTTTTATTCATTTGAAAGTAATTAAGTCATTACAGAAGGTATAATCATCAGCCCCAAAAAAGTGGAATCATAGCGTCCCATAAAGTATTTGTTCATCAACTATATATCTACATTTATCCTTTAACCTTCAATCTTGTTTTTAACCAGATACTTCTGCTGGAGTTTCCTGATTGATTAGCATTATCACTGTTGATCATGATGATATAGAAGAAACAAAACACTTTATTTTAAAGTTGTTATAGAAAATGTTTTACATTTTTCACAAAAATTGCTAAATTTACTTACTCAGCAAACTGTCCATCAGTGACTAAGCTGACTTCTGCCAGCTGTGCAACTCGCAACTTGAATGTATTTGTCGTCAGGCTTTGATCAGTTTTGTTGATAACAGCTTAATGTTAACTTTTGTGGAGTCCTGTAGCTCAGTGGTTAGAGCACTCGCTTTGCAAGTGAGAGACCTGAGTTCAATTCCAGGCAGAGGGCGAAACCTTGGGCAAGTTTCCTTACTCCACACAGAGCTTAATAATAATCCCTCCAAAACCAAAAACAATAATAAATTGGTCATTTTCAATCTACAACTGTTTGTGGGACATTGCTGTGCGCAATTGGCTGCCGCGTTCGTCCACAAATATACAGTCAATTCACTTTACAGTATATTCTGTGAAGCGGTTTGGGACGTCTGGAAGACGTGAAAAGCGCTATATCAAACTCAAGGATTATTATTATTATTATTATTAACTTAAAACTTTTACTAACTGATCAATAATCATTCCCAATTCTTTCCTTCATTCTCATACCTCTTCATCAAACACATGCCTAGAATAACAACAGTGATAAAAAAAATGTTTCATTTGCTGGCATAATGTTTAATTGAGGGATTGGGATGCCTAAAGTAAAATTATTTAAAATTTGAGCATATGGGACTGAGTCACAAGATTGATTTTAGTTTCCAGTGTGCATGAAGTAGGTACACGAATATAGAATTCATTTGGTCAGGTAGATTATGAAGTTCCTAAACAAATCTTGATACTGATAATTTGGGTTTACGGGATCCTTTTATAAGACTATGATCTATAATGATGATGGTAACGAAATATTGTGCTGCCTCTATGGCAAACTGCAATTGATGGGTAGTAATATTTTTTGTATCACTTGAGCAAGCAAATACTTAATAATCAGTAAGCAATAGCTGTGAGTTATTCTTTCTCACAATATGTGTCTTATAAGTGATGTAAAACATAAATAATGCATGGTGTTACTTTTACCTGTGTCATTTTTTTTTGAAGTGATGGGTTTTATGTACCATGTCCATGAAAATCAATGAAATGAATTATATATACATGCAGGCACAGATTATTGAGAGCAGTCTGCTAGTTGCAACACAAAAGCTTTGATCTCCTATCTGAGAGACTTGAGTTTGGATCCAATTCTCAATTGACATGCCCATTTGAGCTTCACTTAAGAAACCCTTGGCTGAGTCTTCTTTCGGATAGGAAAACTGAATGTGTCTATGGGGGATAGACATTATCTCACTCTATATCACTCAAATGGATCTTTTAAATGTCTTAAAATGTTTTAAATGTTTAAAGTGTCCATAGGTTAAGGGCATCCTGGTATTGGAGCACATTGGGAGCTGAAGGCTTCGTCACAGGAAAGGATAGGATATGGAGCACACGTTATGTGTGCCTGGTTACAAAGCCAGATTAACAGATAATAATAATAATAATAATCCTTGCATTTGATATAGCGCTTTTCACGTCAGGAGGACGTCCCAAAGCGCTTCACAGAATAGACTGTAAAGTGAATTGACTGTATATTTGTGGGCGAACGCGGCAGCCAATTGCGCAAAGCAATGTCCCACAAACAGTCGTAGATTGAAAATGACCAATTTGTTATTGTTTTGGGTTTTGGAGGGATTATTATTAGGCTCTGTGTGGAGTAAGGAAACTTGCCCAAGGTTTCGCCCTCTGCCTGGAATTGAACTCAGGTCTCT